AAACATCCAGAGAAATTTCTACCTTGGTTTGTAGAGCCAGTGTATATTCCTTCCTCTGTGATGAGTTTCCACATCTTCTGTCTCGTGGTGGACAAGAGTACAATGTCTGTGTGTTCCAAAGGAACAGCAGTTGCAGGAGCTTGAAAAATAAAAAAAAGTCTTCCATTTTTTAAAAAAATATGTAATTGCTGCCTCTCCTGAGATATTTTTACAGTGTGTCCCCAGAGAGAGGATTCCAGCTGATGGCCCAGTACAGAGCAAGAGGCACATAGACAGACTGTCTGGCTCCAATTTATGCTCTGTGCTAACATGGCTAATAGGCATTTGTATTTTGATTTAGAGAAGTGCTGTTCTTGATCCTCACTTGGTTCTACAGTGGTAACTCTGGCTTAGACTCACACGTTTCAAGGCCAAGAGCTATTTGTTTTCTCTATCTTCTTCTGTCTCCCCGCCCCCCAACAAAATGCCTTGGGAATCATTTCAGTATTTTAATAGATTTGTACACAAAATAAATTGGCAGTTCGCTTTTCCCCACATAAGACCCTGCCGAAGAGCTTTGAACCTTTCTGAAGTGTTACGTATGCACAATAACACGTACCAAAGCTTCCACCAAATCCTGCCCACTTCATTATTATCCCACTCGCCCTCCATCCGAGTTTTCGTTATCACCTCATTTTACATCATGAAGTCACCATTCCCTCCGCTTAACTGGAAAAGGCAGCCGCTCTCGACTGAAGAGGTGTCCGTAATTTGGTAAACACCTACTGAAGATGAGCCAACATCTCTGTATAAAACTTGAGTTCCCTCCAGATACGTTCTGCTCTCGAGCGCCTGGTAAAGCAGCCAAGCTGCAGGCCCTGGCACTCAGGCACAACAGTCTGGCATGGCTGGGGGGGCCTGCTATGACAGGAAGGCCACGCCCACCAGATGCGCAGTCATCTTTCTTGGATTCTTTTATCTGTGGGTCCTTGAGCTGCAAAAACGCTGTACTATAATCTGGTTACTTAAAATGAGCTGTCCCAGTGACTGAGTAAGCTGGGGGAAAAAACACAAGTAAAATTAATATTTCAAAGGAAGCCCTCCCTAGGCATTCTCCTAGCAACAAGATCACCACATTTTACAGTCGTGGTTTTCCTTGGCTCGTGACATGACTGTCCCAAGCCATCTCTGCCAAGCCTATCAACAGGCTTGCTCTCTGGAAACCTTAGTAAAACAGGACTAGTTCACACTTTGACAAATTTCAAGCCTAAACGTACCCAGTTAACAAAAGTTACTTGTGCCAAAATGCTTACTAAGGCCTGGGCTCCAGCAATGTGTAATGTGCTATCGCCACAGTTTGCAAAACAAATGGACAGCTCTTCCAGGGCCCTGGGGTTACATTCCAACGGAGCACACAAATACAGTTTTCATCATACCATATGCTGTGCTTGCGGGCTAGAGGACACTTGCATTTCTTAAAATTATATTTGTTTGCATGCTTATCAGATGCACAAAATGCATTCTTCATGGATTTTCCTCTTACTGTTTTGGATAGCATAAAGAATTATGTAGTTCAGAAGCATGGAATCGATGAAAATAACTTCAAAGAGGAATGGTCTGTTTTCTCCCATATTCCATAAATCGGATCTGTAAATGCAAGGGATAGGAGGAACAAACTCAAGATATTCAGTGATTTTGTTGGAAATTTTTAAATGGAGAAAGCATAGAAATTTGTGAACTAAGAGTTTAACCAGCCTGGCTTCCAGGAGGAAATCTTTCAAATGAAGGTCCTTCTGCTCATCTGAAGCAAAGCTCTTTAGGGCAGGAATCTTCAGAAACATAGCAGCAGAGTGTGTGACTCGGTTTTATTGTCTTGCATCAGTGAACATTCCTCAAATGCAGAGGGCTTCACTAATGGAATTATATGTTTTCATGCTATAATTACATTTGATTTTTCTTGATATTTCTGTAGACCTTTGTTCATGGTTCCATGATTAGGCAGGATATTTACAAGTTTACTGTATCCCTGGACTACCTAATGTTCACCTCACCCCAAAATAGAGAGCTTAGTAAAAAAGGAACCTTCAAGACATTTTAAAGACAAAAATGTACATTTTTAAAAAATGTTTTATTTAGGCTTGGATGTAGCTCAGTGGCAAAGCATGTGCCTAGCAAGTGCATTGTCTTGGGTTTGATCCCCAGTACCAAAAAAACATACAGTAAAAAATAATACAGTAAAAAAAGTTTTAGTCAGCAGTTGGAGAGTGATTTCAACAACAGGAAGAACATGAACCAAAGGAAAGTAGGGAGGAAGGAAGGAAGGAAAGGAAAGGAAAGAAGGAAGGACAGAAGGAGGCAGGGAGGGAAGCAGGGAGGGAGGCAGGGAGAGAGGGAGAAAGGGAGAGAGGAAAGAAATAAGGAAGGAAGGAGGGGGAGGAAGGAGGGAAAGAAAGGAAAGGAGAAAGAAAGAAAGAAAGAAAGAAAGAAAGAAAGAAAGAAAGGAAGGAAGGAAGGAAGGAAGGAAGGTGCTTGAAGTAAACAGAGTAAGGAGTCCATCTGAGTTCTAAAACTCATTGAGACAAAAAAGAAGGCATTTAATATTTTTATTTGCTTTGGAATGAATATTTGTTGGCAAAATGATTTATTAGACCTGTGGATGTATGGGCCCAAATGGTTCTATCACTGAAGACTGATGAAGGAAGGCATAGAGTCCTCTTGGTAAAGCATCCTGAATGTGTGCATTCTACATCCATTTGGGGGCTAAAATAAAATCTTTAGCTCAAAAATAATCCAGAAAAATGCCTACTGGGGAGATATAAACGATCAGAAAAGCACGTTGAAATCTGACATATAGTTACTGTCTTACTGACTCACATCGCATCTTAGCTTTGTCCGACATGCCTCAAGGTCCTGGTAGCACTCAGTTCCTATATCTTAACATGCAATTCCCGATTGTCTAGGTTTCAGTGAGTCAGAGGAATAACACTTTAGAAATGCTTTCACACCAGAGCTATCCCCACCAAAGCATTCTGAGTAGAGGGACTAAGAAGTTGGTGAGTGCAGTGTGGTGGGATGGGAAGGGCTGCTGGTTGCGAATGGAATTCATTTAGGGGCACAGATGACTATCACAAGGCCTGACCTGGGTTGGGTGTTCTTATCAAAAACCTGAAGTTAAGTTAGCATTTTATTTCCTCATGTTTAAATACATTTCTTGAAATGCCATTTATTATGATGTTGAAAGCACAATTTCAGTTCTCTCCTCTCAAATGCCTGTAGTCTGGCTGGTGGCCCAGCCACTCAACCCAAATCACCCTCTGAAGTCTTCCAAAATAATTTCTCAGCCAAAACCAATAGTGTCCTTCTAGACGTGTCAGCCTTTTACTCAAAAACATTCCTCTCTCTACTGACACCCATCTGGCCTCAAATTCTATGGACTTGTCCCTCCTCGGTTTTCTATTTCCCATCTCTCCAGAGTCACACCTGTCATAGGTTGCCCTCAGATATTCCACTTTTGATGGTTTCACCAGGAGTCTGTACATGAATTACTACCCTAGCCCTGAATTCCCCGATTTTTCAGTGCCTTACCACTTCTGATACCTGGTCTTTAGCTGCAGTGAATCATGGGCAAAGTAATAAATCAGGTCCCGATTCTCAAGTCCTTACTGTTTAAGATCTGGGTTTCTGTACACGAACTGGAGTCCTTTTGATTCCTGACTCACCTTTTACTTTTAAACTTCAAAAAAAGCATATATTGTCTATCCGGGTTCCATTTAGTGAATGAATGTTCTTTTTATTTATCTTCTACCCTTCCCACTTGCAACTCTAGTGAAATACATGTCATGCCAACTTTATACATAGTCAGATAGCAATTTCTATTATCTTTTTTAATCAAAATGCAGTTTATAATCAAGCAGCTCGTCTTAGCCTATGTTGATGTAAACTTGCCTTAGGCCTATTTTTCTCCAACTTCTAATTCTCATTAGCACCATGCTTAGATGAAAATCCTTTCCTCTTTTCAGTAAACTTGTCACAGTCTTCATTACTGCCCCCTTCATTCCTCTCTCCTAAAGAATTTCAATGGACTGTGTGTAAACCATGCTGTACAATCAAGTTGGCCTTCATCCTCCTCCTGTCATGAATACACAGCCTTTTGAAAAAGTAGAATCTTACTCCATCTTCACCTGTATGAAATTCCTAACAGTATCAGTATATACCATTGCCTTAACTTCAAGAAAAACACCTCTTTGGATAATTTTGTCATCTTTTTAATAATATATACAACTTAAATAGTTAACACAAAATCCATATTTACAGGCAGGTACAGTGTGCATTTTAGTGTACAAGATTTGTGTATATCTGTACAAGTCTGTAATTAAACACACCTATCATCTCAAATATTTAACATTTCTTTGTATTAGGAACATCCAAAATTCTTTTTTCTGTCCAGTTTGAAGTCTCAATAGATTATTCCTAACTATCACCACCCTCCTTCACAGTTAATAGAACACTAGAATTTTATTCATCTGTCTGTATTTTTAAACAATGAACAGCCTCTCCTTATTTCTCCCATAAAGAATGTGTTTTTTAATATTAAAAAGCTTTCTATTTATTGAAATACCTTTACTAACTAAGTATACTGAGGTGATTCTTTTTTAAAAAAATGACTGTAAAGGTGATGTAGAGAGGGGTTACAGTTATGTGTCAGGTAATGAGTATATTTCTTTTTGAACAGTTTTACCTCCTCCCTCCATTTCCTCTCCTGACCCTTTTTATGAGATGATTCTTTTATTCTTTGATACTGTGACTTATAGTAATCTAGTGATATGAGTATAATAATATACTTATGTCTGGCATAGTCATTAATTGGCTTTAAAAATATTCAGTACTTTTTAAAAAACTGGTTGGTCCTAAGGAATGGGTTTTGAATCTTCCACCTCTTGACTATATACACTTAAGATCTTTTTAATAGGAATTGTGGCTATTAAGATTTGGCCTCATGGTGCAAACATTTTTTTTTCCAGGATCCCCCAATGGCTGTAACCCTTGGTCTCCGAATGGAAGAAATGATCTTTAATCTTGCTGATACCCATCTGTTTTTTAACGATTTAGAGGTAAGAATTTTTCAAAAGGAAGAATAATTGTTTGCAGCACTTAGAAACTTAGGTGGTTCTGTATGTGTAATAAACTTGAGACAACGGAAAGATAGCGACAGGGTTTAAGAAATTTGTGAGCTTGTCAGGACAACACACACACACACACACACACACACACACACACACACACACACTAGCATGAACAGAAAGTGAAACTGTGGTCATGAATAACACCTACATGACTGCCGTATATTGGGAAGAAAAAATGCCCAAAAGAGAATATCTGTTTTGCTGCCTGTGCCAGACACCTCTTGTACTCTCATTTTTCAGTACTTCGGCGACTACTTCTGGCACCGTTGGAAGTAGTGTTAGCCTTCCCAGGTCAGTGAGTTACCAGACCATATTTACAGATGCTCCCAACATCTCTGATCACTGAATTTTGTGCATAATCTAAAACCTAGCTTTGGACAATGTGATCATTTCTCCTTTCCTCCACCTCTGGGTAAAACAATGCTAGAGCTGTTTACATAAGACTCTGATGAATATGAATGCATTTATTCTCCCTTTATCAACATTTTTCCCTTTCAAACTTCAAATGGCAATACTGTATGTAAATGGCAGACAAAAAGAAGAGGAAAATTACAGTATGAATGAAAGGTAAAACAGACTAGGGACAGAGTAGTGTGCAATGTACTCTGTGTACAAAGCACCCAAGTCGTTAGGCGTCTAGACAATGAAATTTTTTAAATAAATAAATAGATTAGCATAGGGCAGAAGTCCTTCTTGAGCAAGTATAACTAGACTGAAAGGGAGATTTCTTTTTTGTTATGACATATGTAAACTTAGTTTTATTTTTACAGTGAAATAAAATGGTCTATACCCACACAACAAATAGTGGGGAAGATTGCTATATGGTTCCTCACATTGTTCTAGACATTTTATGTTGAACTTTCCACTAATTAATTGACAGTATTTTAAGATAAATATATGTATCACATTACATTCATGGGGCAACAACTGTCTGGTCTATAGCACAAAGACTGCATTTAAGGTAACCTCCAAGTTAAGCAGTCTTTGATGTCCAATCGATTAGGCTAAAACAAGCAAACATCCAGTGAATGACTTAAGTTTTTTTTTTTTTTTAAGTTGACAAGATCTAAATCTAGACTTAATTACTTTTGAGACATGTGAGAAAAATAATGTAAGTCTCAATGTAATCCATAAGTGTATGTACTGAAAATGAGCTGTGTCATAGCTGTTTGTTGTTTTCTTGGAGTTTAGTCAGTGTTTTCATTGGATAACAAAATGACCAAAGAGGCTTTTTAAAAATGAACACAGGACAGATCAGTATTCTTTGCCAACTTTTCCAGTTTTAGATAATAAATTATAATTACCTCTCTAAAATCTGATTTAAGTCAGTCCTGCTGTTTGTTACTATCCAGTATATAAAATCCTCTGGCATATACTTGTTGATGGAGAACAGATTTGAACTTTCAGGGAAGGTGGAATTTGAAATACAGTGGTAATGATTTAGCTCTGTTTTCCTGTTGCTAACATGGATGAGATTCAACCTGGTGACGATTTTAAGATGATTACTCCCTTCAAATCTATAAAAAGAAATAATCTTACTTAGTCTTATCCCAATTTACGGTGCCAATTTTATTTGATTAATTTTTTTTTACTAGAAATACATTGGATACATGAACTTTTAGCTTTCCTGTTGAAACATCTAGAAACAAGATGAAAGAAATTTACTACTCAGCTTTTAACAGAACTCTAAAGTAGAAATGTGCTAATAGCACATGGTGTTACATACCTTTAGCAGGTTTGGGTAAACTTGATCATCTATGAAAATCTATAACATAACCACTAGAGTGCTATGAACCTTTGCATTTGAGTTAGACACTATGTAAAATGTCCTCTCAAAATATGTCAGGATCTTTCTCAGAAATAGTACCTGATAAAATAGTGGTATCAACTCTCTCCTTTCTGATTCTGTTTTAGAATGTGATGGAAAACTTTACTTTGTTTAAACCCTAAAACCTACTTATTCAGCCATACCACACTTAATAGATTAGATCTGCATACAAATGGACTAAACTCTCGTTCCTGCATGCATTAGCTCATCCATCTAGATAAGGAACTAAAAAATGTATTACTAAGTAAACTTATAAAATCTGAACAATAGTGTTCATGATCATCTGGAATCATTACATATATACCTCTAGACTTCTGTAACTGACATTCAAAGTCTACTCTACTTGCACATGTTTGTTTCTATAAAGCTCTTGCAGCCAGAGTGCAAAGGTTCCCTAAGAGGACTTATTTCCGCTTCTGTTGACAAAGAGAATAATTCCTGACGAGAGTATAACTATACCACGAGCTTACTGTGGATTTTTATTCCTTCGGTAGTTAAATTGAGTCTTTTTTTTTTAACTTTAAAATCCAAACTGGGATTCCAGCCCTTCAACATATGCAGTGCCAGCTGCTCCTCTTAGAATTCCTGGAAAGATACAAATGTAATTCCTTCTGGTAGCCTCGCCTTTGTCTCCACTTCTTCCTGCACAACTGCAGAGAAGGTCAAATGCTCACTGCACTTACTGTCCCCCACAAAACCAATGCTCTGCTTAAATCAGATGTGATTTCAGTGAGATCTGGAAAAGTAGGCACCAGGGACTTTGGGGTCACAAAAGTGAGGGGAGGCTGCTGTGGAATCTAACAGGAAAGGATCAGAGACAATTCTGTGGTCACCTTGGAAGACAAAATTAAAACATTTTAAGATTAGCACCAGATACATTTCAAACATTTGAGGTCTTCCACTAAAATGTGTTAAACAACCAAAGTAAAGTACTCTATTTGATTTATTATTATTAATTTTTTTTTAGCTATTGCAGGTTTGGGTTAAAAGGATTGTTGCATAGTTCCTCAGAGTGAAACCAATTGAAGACCAATTATTTAGTTTTTCCTGAAAATGTCAGTAATTGAAGTTCAAGTTTCTTTCACTGGACTATAATCCTCAGGCAATCGTCCAGAGTCAACAGGCACAGTTAACTAGGCATAAATTTAAAGAGAAGTTAGATTTGGAAAAGCCTCAAACATAACTTCGAATACAGAGTACATGGTCCAATAAGTTTGATATACTGTTGTCCCCAGGAGTAAAAAAATAAATTTGGGGGCAACCTATGTATAAATTCATCATGTGAATGAATACTTGAAATGTCAGAGGAATTTCTGTGAAAAGTAGAATGGGGAATATTGGAGAAATAACTTCTGATTACCAGAGTAATTTACAAGAAACTCTTGTCCCCCCTGACTTTTTTGTGATATGATTAGTTTATTATCAAAACAGGAAAATTATTTACATATGAGGAAATATTTCAAACTTCACTAGAGTAGGTAGGTAACTTTATGTGTTGCCATATTAATATTGATTTCAATCTACACTTTTTTCAAGAATATCACTATCTCTAAATAAGGAATAATTCTGCCCTAGAGGATCCTTTGGTATTTCTATATCTTAGGAGAATTTTATTTCTAAATTTTCATGCTAACTAGTTAAATCTCTGTATCTGTTGAAAGCACAGTTCAATTGCTTTTTCATTTGCTTGTAATATTTTTACCTGAAATTGTGCTGGAAGGCTACCCTTCCTGTACGAATAGCTTGGCCTCCTTTCAACCAATTCTTGATCAAACAGAAGCAGATGCTTCTTAACGTCCAGCTATGATTATGAGGCTTAGCTGCTGCTCTCTACTTTGGTTTATCCCTCCATAAAGATCTTCTTAAAGTCTATCATCTAGGATAGTGTTTTCTTTTTTTTATTGTGAAAGTACTGTACAGAGGGGTTACAATTACATGGCAAGATAATGAGTACATTTCTTATCAAGCCCATCCCATCATTCCCCCTGACTTTGCATTTGAAAATGTAAATGATTATGATAATGCTGTCAAAAACAATCATTTATCTAGATTCCTGTCATTTTTAAGAGAAAAAAAAAACTTTGAGGAATTGAAAATCTTCTGGAAACACTCCCTTCCCTGGAGAGTTTCTAGTTGCGTTAAATCTACCCCATGAATAAAGGTAGAGATTTCATTGTAAAAAACACTAAGCCCAAAATTTATATGAAACTTAGAAACTTTATAAATTAGTAATCTGGATTTTCAACAGAAATGAATTGTGCCTCTCACTGAGTTTTATAGTTTAAAGGAAGCCAGAGATATCTGAAATAGAATGGATGTGGTCCTGATAAGAAGCTGGAGTCTAGACACTCAGTGTTAGTCTACAGACACTACGAAGCCTGCCATGAACAGGAACAGTAACTGGAAAGCCTTTGTTGTGTGACCTATTCCCAAATTAATGTGAAAGCTCACACCTGTCATCCTGGCTTTTGGGGAGGTTGAGAATGAAAGGATCATGCTTTGATGCCGGCCCAGGCAGAAATGTTTATGAGCCCCCGTCTCAACCTATAGTTGGGTTCAGTGACACGCTGCTGTTATCATAAACTATACGGGGGATTGATATTGGGAGGATCAGAGAGCCAGGCCCTGAGAAGGCTTTTTCCCAAGAAAGGGAAGGTAGACATGGTTCACATACCTGTGATCACAACCACAATAGGAAGTCTAGAAGTGGGCAGAGGGCAGCTCAGGTGTCCTAAAAATAATAATAAAAGATGGGGATAGAGACGTGACTCAGGGGTAAGCAAGCACGAGACTGCGAGTTCAAATCCCAGTACTGCTAAAAAAAATAATTTTGAATGGTAAGCATTATGTATAGAAACAGAAACTGTACAAATGAAATAATTTGAGGGAAATAAATACAGTTCTAAAGGATAACCAAGACTTAATCTGAAGGTTGTTTTAAATTTTTTTTTGCCAGTCATGGGTCTGAAACCAGCCAGGGCCTGAGTACTGTCCCTGAGCTTTTTTGCTCAAGGCACTATACCACATTGAGTCACAGCTCCACTTTTGGTTTTCTGCTGGTTACAGATATTCTCATTTTCTCACAGTTTCCTGCCCAGACTGACTTTGAGCCGCGATCCTCATACCTCAGCCTCTTTAGTAGCTAGGATTGCGAGTGTGAGCCACTGCCACCTAGCTGAAGTCACTTTTAAAAATAATAACTAGTAATTATAATTTATTATTTTGATTTATGGATCTATTCTTCTAAAGGCTAGGTATTTTACATGCTGTAAGCAATTTCCACCTTTAGTTAGGTGATATTTTACTAGAACTTTGCAGATTATTTGATGGCGGAACAAGACTAAACAATGCAAAAGTCCTAGATTCTGGCTAATTATCAGACCTATCGTATAGTTACATTTTCCTAAAGCTTTTGGCATTTGTAGTACATTTGATATGGTAAAGCTTCACCTTTTACTTCTAGATATTATTTTTCAATTTAAAAAAAGCTGGAGAAAGGAAAATATCATCTTCTATGGTTATGACCTTTCTTTGTATGTTAAATACAAGAACATTTGAAATAACAACCCCAGTTTAGCCCAAAGCAGGATGACATGGAAATCTCATGGGTCACCATAATTCAAAATTAAGCCCTTCTATCACAGCTCAGCAAATAATAAGAGTGACCGTATTAATTGTTCAGGCCACACTAGATTCACTTTGCTTGAGTGTGCACAACAGAAAGAACTAGAAGAAAGCGGACATGACAGACAAATCCAAAAAAGAATAGCCTTATCAGTATTTGTAAGATTAAACTTATTTTTTTGAAATCACTTGCCAGAATTATTTGCTGCGTGTTTTCATACCCCTTCGTACTTCAGATCATGGAGAGCAGAAATGGTGCCATTTTCCAACCTCAATAAACCAGTTTGGGGTTGGAAGGTATGTTGGCCGATGCTGCCATCTGCTGGCCAGCATATGAGCACAGGTAGTAATGGTTCCCTTCTTTTAAACAGGAGTGCGATCAAGTTCACATAGATGATGTTTCCTCCGATGATAATGGACAGGACTTAAGGTAAGCCGTGCCTTTCAGTCTGCTGTTTCCTACAGAAATTGAGCTGTGGAGTTTTGCACATGTAATTATTTCTTTTATTTCTTTTTAATGTATTTTGGGTGTTGCAGTACCTACAGTTTTGCAACTGATGGCTTCCATGCAGCTGCAAGTAGTGCAAACCTTTGTTTGCCAACAGGTGTAAGAGGAGGAGTGGACTGGATGAGGAAGTTGGCTTTTCGTTACAGAAGAGTAAAAGAATTATATAACACCTACAAGAACAATGTCGGAGGTACGCATGGCTTACTTCATAGAATAAAGGCACCACGGGTGTAGGTAGAATTCAAGCTTAAGTTTCACATGAGAGATTGTCTGACTGTAAAATAAGTCTGTGAAAACTCAAGTGGCACAACATTGAGCCTGAATTTTTATTTTCTTAGAATTCATGGGAAAAAATAACTGTAGAGAAAAGATGCATCCTATACCAGTAACTGGGCATTCTTTGTGAAACTGTGCTCAGTTCTTTCATCGAGATTTATAGGAAAGTATTTAGCTTACTTCATCTGTTGGTTCTTGTGACATTGTAAGTGAAAATCAGTCCAAAAGCCAAGGAAGCAGTGGGAAGACTTTTTTTTAAAGACAATGGCCATCTTTCCCTCTCTGTAACCCTATCAACACAAATATAGACAGTGATCTACAGCATTTAAAGACACTCAAGAGTACTGTTAGATTAGTTTTTAAAATCACATGTTAGCTGACAGTGTATCTTTTCCATGTGCATGATTTACTGTGATTATCAAAAAGTTCAAATATCCTGAAGTTTGGTGTATTTTATACTCATCAATCTCTTTTCCAGAGGATATCAAAAACCTGTGACATCCCTATGATCTATGAACATGGATGATATCTGTTTTTAAGAGCAATTTTGGGTCAGCCATATTCCTAAGATTAGGCATGAGGTTATAGACTATTCTTCTCTTAGGGTACTTGTTTGTTTCTCTTTCTTAAGAAAAGTGAAGGAAAGTCAGGAGCTGGTGGCTCATGCCTGTAATCCTAGCTACTCAGGAGCCTGAGATCTATGGATTGTGGTACAAAGCCAGCTAGGGCAGATGAGACTCTTATCTCCAATTAACTACTCAAAAACCAGAAGTGGTGCTATGGCTCAAGTGGTAGAGCATTAGCTTTGAGCACAAATAGGCTGAGTTCAAGCCCCACAACTAACAAAGAAAGAAAGAAAGAAAGAAAGAAAGAAAGAAAGAAAGAAAGAAAGAAAGAAAGAAAGAAAGAAAGAAAGAAAGGAAAAAGAAAGAAAGGGAAGGAAGGAAGGAACGAAGGAAGGAAGGAACGAAGGAAGGAAATTGAATGCAAAAGAGAATACACCTGTATACTACAAACAAAAATATTCACAAATGTCATAGAATACAGTGAGCTATGTAAAATTTCAGGTTTTATTAGATACACCATCCATATGCATTCAAAGGGGGGTAGTGCGGTGTTTGTTTCCCTTGTCTTTGTCTAGCATGAAAGCACGTAGATGTTCCATAGATACTCAAGAACTGAATAATATGAATTTAAGAGCCAAAGAGTTTGGTTATGGAAGAGCTTCATTTCCCAATAGGAAACCAGACCTAATAGGCTTTGTGGGTTCTACCTTGCCCCTGTTCAAGGGAAAACTTCTGTGTTCTGTTTTACTCTGGTGCTGTTTATGAGACCCTTTGTACAAATAAATAGATGTTCTCATTAAAAATCAATTGTGGAGAGTATATTTAACTTTAACATTAACACATCTATTTATAATTGTGATCCTTGTATTCTGAATACCTCTTAAGTAAGAAATCTTTCAAGCTCTGGGTGCTGATGTCTCATTCCTGTAGTCCTAGCTACTCAGGAAGATGAGATCTAAAGGTCATTGTTCAAAGCCAACCCAGGCAAGAAAGTCCTTAAGACTTATCACCAATAAACTACCATGAAAATCCAGAAGTGGAGCAGTGGCTAAAAATGGTAGAGCACTTGCCTAGATCAAAAAGAAAAAATCTCAGGTACAGCACCAGGCTCTGTGTTCAAGCCCCACAACAGAAGAAAGAAAGAAAGAAAGAAAGAAAGAAAGAAAGAAAGAAAGAAAGAAAGAAAGAAAGAAAGAAAGAAAGAAAGAAAGAAAGAAAGAGAGAGAGAGAGAGAGAGGGAGGGAGGGAGGGAGGGAGGGAGGAAGAAAGAAAGGAAGGAAGAAAGGAAGGAAGAAAGGAAAGAGAGAGAGAGAAAGAGGGAGGGAGGGAAAGAGAAAGAATAAAAAAGAAATCTTTTGATTGGATTTATACAGTTTTATAAAGATCTTCTTTTAACAGAACTGCTTTTCATTTTTTGATGTTTGTTTTCTATGCCGAGGACCAAATCCAGAGCCTCATATATGGGAGACAAACACTCTACCATTGAACTCTATCCATAACCCCATAGCTGCATCCTTTAAGATAAAATACCATATCTCTTCCTTATGTATGCAAATCAATGTAATTTATATCATTGTAATTTTGGCATGCTTTTTAGGGTTTAAATTTAATTCTTAATTTCTTCTATGATAGTGTTAGTACTACTTTTTAAGAAACTTTCTGATAAAGCCCTCTCATCATGTCATTCGTGCTGTTTCAAACTGGAAATGATTGTGGTTATTAAGAAACATTTTTCAGGCAGGTATAATAGCTGAGATTTGTGTATATAATCCAGCAGAGCCCCACTGATTTTCCAGACTGATGTATTGCACACTTTTGAGGAAGGATGCTGTGAGTGACAGAATGCCCTCTGCCTGAGAGTCTAGATTCAGAGAAGTCAGAAACTGGAGTCGGCATCTCTACCATTATGTTCCCCATATCTAGCCCAGAGCCTGACTCCTAGGAGTTGTCTAACCAGTATTTATTGAATAAGTAAGTGGATAATCTATTCTAAAGTGAAGGATCGATATTAACATGTCTGATAAAGTTGAAATAAGAAAAGATCTATTCTGCACAGAAGTGACACCAAGTTAGACCTTCCTGAGAAACTCTTCAGCTCCTGACTCTGCTTTGCCCTTCTGTACTGCAGGACTCCTTGGCCCTGCAAAGAGGGACGCATGGCTGCAGTTAAGGGCAGAGATTGAAGGTCTGACAGATTCCTGGCTGACAAATGCACTTAAGTCTTTATCGATTATCAGTACTAGGTAAGTGACATTGCTCTCTTTCCTATTTCAATGCTGTGGAAGATGTAGGTCTAAAGATACAAAATGGATGTTTAAAAATGTTTTTATATCTACACTGGTTTAGGGTTTACAAGACTTAGCAATTCAGAGTCCAGTGGTTGATTGTTAAACTGTGTGGAGTGTGTGCCTGTGGCCTGTGTCAGAATGTGCAGAGTATGTGTATATGTATGTTATACATATAGCAGGTACACATGTAGTGTGTGTGGGTGTGGAACATGTGTGTGTGAGTACAGTATGTTTGTGGTGGTCCATGTGTTGATCAAGAAGAGAGTTGCTTCTCCTCAATCAATAGATCACACCTTTCCACCCATCTCTCATTAAGGTTACTAATAATCTCCACAGACAGGGCCCTTGGTATGCAATGAAGCTGGTGACCAACGACAAGGGACTATGACAAAAATAAAGCAATGCTTAGACACATTGATCTGTGAAAATGAAACACTGAAAGTGGAGTGGGTATATGGAAAATGAGGATAAGCCAGAGGGTCAATCTGATTTAAAACATTGTATATCCATGTGTGAAATATCATGGTAAAACTTTTTTAAACAATTAACATACACTTAAACAAACAAATGACAAGAATATAAAATGGGAGTACTTACAGGAAGAGGAGGAAGAACTGAAAATTTGACTCATTTGAGAACTGAGTCAAAATACTTTGCATATATTGTTTAAAATATAGCAGTGAAACTTGATGAGATCTATCTGAGAAGCCAAAAGGGGTTGGGGGGAGGGGAGAGTGGCCGAAGGGCCAAACCTGATGAAGGTACTTTGTGTGCATCCAACACTTGGTTGAATTCTGTATCAGAGCCTTTGGCAAAGTTAGGTTACCTTCTGACTCTCACCTATGAATATCGATTAAGGATATATGGAGGGTATAGAAAGTTGTAGGAAGCATTATTAGAACCCCATATTGGAAAATCCAAAGAATCTAGCATCAAAACTGGATTTCAAAAACATTAGCCATGTACTGGTGGCTCATACTTGGAATCCTAGCTACTCAGTAGGCTGAGATTGGAAGATCTCAGCCCAGGCGGCAAAGTCCATGAGACTCATATCCAATTAACCACCAAAAGCCAGAAGTGAGGCTGTGGTGCAAAGTAGAAGAGTACTAACCTTGAGCATGAAAGTTCAGGGACAGTATGTTATCTCCTGAACCCATGATATAAATCAATAGATAGGTAGGCAGGCAGATAGATTATAATATGAAAGTTGATAGGGGAAATTTCTCTATAAAAGCAGAAAAACATTGAAAATAAATTCACGGAATAGAGAGGAGTTACCTCTGATGTTTAATGAGTAACTACTGCCTTATATTTTCTTCTTTACTTTTCTCTGTCTTTAACATTTTTTCTGTTATAAATACAGTATTTACAATGCAATGTAACTCTAAACATCAACATAATGTAAATAGCAAAACTCTTTCCCAGAACCACATCTCAAAAATGTAAAAGCCACTGGGTGCCAGTGGCTCACGCCTGTCATCCTAGCTACTTTGGAGGCTGAGATCTGAGCATCACGGTTCAAAGCCAGCCCAGGCAGGAAAGTCCGTGAGACTCTTATCTCCAATAAACCACCAGAAAACCGGAAGTGGTGCTGTGGCTCAAGTGGTAGAGCGCTAGCCTTGAGCTGAAGAGCTCAAGGACAGTGCCCAGGCCCAGAGTTCATACTCCACAACTGACCAAAACAACAACAACCTTTTTTAAATTTTATTTCACCATGGTTTGTTAAAACTTATCTCCATAGGACTCTGACTAGCATGTTGTCGCGTTTGTTGCTACGTGGGGTGTGTATTATCCTAAATGCCCTGTTGTCATTCAGGGAGCATTTGTCTGTTGGTAGGAAGTGGCTGCTGGACACTGAAAAGAGTTACTCCTTGTGGATCTAGAAAACAGTGACAATTCTAAGCGTGCACTATCAGAAGTTACCGACTACTAGAAAACAAGTCTATGTCCTCCTTATTTTAGGAGTAACTGCGTCAATGTCTTGGTAACAACAACCCAGCTGATCCCAGCACTAGCGAAGGTTCTTCTGTACAGCTTAGGAGGTGCTTTCCCCATTGAAAATATTTACAGTGCAACTAAAATAGGTAAGGAAGGGATTTTAAACTTGGTGTGGCATGTGCTTTCATCTGTGTTTGGTCATTGTCTTAATGCGCATCTCCTCTGTGTGGTTTCCTTTTGCTATTAGAACATCCAGCAAACTTGGACAAAATTCATATGAGAAAATTCCTTTCCACTCATTATACACAGGAATATTTTATGAACATGCTTGGCTCATGAATTTCTGAACTGAGTATCTAGGTAGCTCTGATTTATTCCCGAAATTTTACAGAATATTCCTGCACACTTCATCTTGATAATTCATAATCTTTCCAACCACAGTAATAACTAAATTGTTGTTGAATATAGTATTGCATCCTTCTGTATGTAATACTTTAGATCTAAGGTTAAAATACTATTTTAAGATTACAACTTCATTGAAGATGGATTCAGCCAGCATCCAGAAAAATGAACATGATCAGAAATAAGAAAGAAGTTTTATGAACCAAAAAGACATACTTGGAGCCGTCAGGATACACAATATCCACCATCCCCCAGATAGTATGAATTAAAGAATTACCATCTTGCTTTTTGAGCTATGTTTATCTGTGGGGCCGTCTTTGACTCTAAGTGCATTCACAGATGAAAACATCCAATAAATGTTCAAAACCAAAAGTTAAATTCTTCCCTTTTGAAAGAGTTAAAAGGAAAAAAAGTGTCTGTATTGCACTGTCAAGGAAAGGCCTGGGAAAATAAATGGGTTGTATAATGTGTCCAGAAGGTCAACATACTTAGGCTTTGGCACCTTGACAAGAGAAATTTGAAATCCTAAAATCCCCCACCAAAAATAACCCGCCCTGGGCCTTGTGGAAGGCTGTTATTGGCTGTGGTAAAAGGAGCCCCCAGAGACTGCTGTTTTGGAGGGCAGTCAGAGAGAGCCAGACTTTCATGAAATAAACACTAAATTGTCATAAACTCTTTAGTGCACATCCAGATATCAATCCCATATATCTTTTGCATGAATACACATATGTATGTTAGCAAAATTAATGTGCAGAATGTGATTTTTACCTTAGGAGCACTCGAAGGATAGTACACCAGAATAAACATTTCTGGTTTAGGATAATATTTTTATTGGCCAAATTATTTCCTACATTTCATCTGAAAAAATATTATTTTTATTGTTCCCTATAAGCTAGTGTATATATATATTTAGTTCTAAACCATCAGATTTTTTCAAAGAGGCAAAAATAGCTCCAGAGAATAATTCTAATGATATAAAAACCAAGGTTGTATAGGAATTCTGGGATGCCTTTGTAGGGCAGGAGGGAGGAGGGGAAGAGCTGGAGGCAGCACTAGCAATAGGAAGGTGGCAGCTAGTACAGCAAAAATGAGCATTTTAGAGGGCTGGGAAGGTAGCCCAGTGGTAGAGCGCTTGCCTTGCATGCCTGAGGCCCTGGGTTCGATTCCTCAGCACCACATAAACAAAAAGAAAAAAAAGCCGGAAATGGCGCTATGGCTCAAGTGGTAGAGCGCTAGCCTTGAGCTGAAGAGCTGAGGGACAGCACCCAGGCCCAGAGTTCAGGCCCCACGACCGGACCCAAAAAAAATAAAATAAAATAAAAAAATAAAAATGAGCATGTTAGCTCTCATCCACTTGAAGAAAGGAATTACTTATCCACGTAAATCCACATGTTAGTATTTCTTCCTTTTTTCTTAGATCAGTTTTCTACAATAATATACTACTTAAAAGGAACTAGATAAACTCCATCTATTTGACTAAACAAAGAATGCTGGCACTTAAGTTTGCCTGTGAAGTTGTTGTAATAATCTTTTGGTGGAGCAAACCGAGTCATATTTTCTCGAGGTTAAATGCCTAACCCTGCTGATTTTCTTGAGGTATGAGCCATATATGTATTGTTTAATACTATGATCCTCAGAGTTAAGTCATTCAAGAGTATATGTTGAAATGTAAACTCACAGGTCTTCAGCTAGTCCAGTGATGTTCAAGACACAGTAACGTAACACCTTATGAATCCTCAGGTTCATGAATGCCATGGCTGGAAGAATAAGCAGTGCGTTGTTTTTCAGGCAAGGAAAGCTGTTTTGAGCGTATAGTGTCCAGATTTGGCACTAACATAACTTATGTTGTGATTGGAGATGGCCGCGATGAGGAGCATGCTGCTAACCAGGTAACTTCACTCTGAACCTTATCTTATTTATCTTCCAGGAAAAGAAAGTTGCTTTGAACGAATAATGCAAAGGTTTGGCAGAAAAGTAGTATATGTTGTAATTGGGGATGGTGTAGAAGAAGAACAGGCAGCAAAAAAGGTAACCTGTCTCCAACAATGTCGGTGTGAATCTGCTAATGCAAGCTTTTTGTTTGCATTCACATAGTTTGGCCCAAGGGCAGCTTGACAAATGATTTGGATTTGTAGATGTCAAGCAGTAAGAGCATGAAAGGATCAATACTTACATTCAAATAAACCATTTGGAGTCTAGCTTTTTTTTGCCTGAAATTGAATAGGAAATGCAAGGAAATTTGGTTCTATTAATTTGTGTGTAAATACATAATAAACACATATTTGCTTATATATACAATATTTAATACATTCATACCCAATGCTCATAGATAACAGATGACCTCATAGTCAAGAAGATAAGCAAGAATTATTGTTAAACCCATGAAGTTTACCAAGATCAACTAGATGAGGTCAAAGAAAACTCACATTGAGTGACTCATTTGTCTCACGTGCCACATAATCTCTGTGAGTTTCTTACACATGAATATAACTCATTGGGAAGTGCTGAAGAGAGAATGGATATCTGAATGAAACTTTGAAGAGATTTTAATAAAGCCTAGTAGGATAGGATGTACTATTCCAATTAAAGATTGGAGGCAATGTACTTGACATCATGCAGAAAATGGTCATCATTTGGGTGTGCCATTGATAGTTGATTGAGGCCAAACAACTGGCTTTCAACATATTTAGAAGGTTTCATAAGCACTATAGATAAACCTTTTTATCAGTTCTATATATTCTAAAGAATAAACCAAGCTAATCATGAACTGGTTGCTTCAGCATCAGTAGATAAATGATAACAGCATTGGCCTCCAATATTAGGCTTATCAATGAGCACAATACTGAGCTGTTCCCATCATTGAATGATAATAGAAAAGCCTCCTCTGCCCAAGATAGAAGTACAGAATTTATACAACACAGGAAAACATGGTGACTTGAATATTTTCAAACAAGCATTGTTCCATATAGAAAGAAAGTTGTCCTTATCTCAAGACAGTTTAAATCTTCATCCAGTAAAGACTTTATTGAATACTTGCATGTCCTGGAGTGGTTAGTTGATATCTATGTTTTTTTAAAAAAATATATCAGCAGAAGCAGATTCATAGAAGAATTTATGGCTGTATTAGAAAGAGAAAAAAAGCGATTTATGTTTTTAGTCAACTCAAACCAAGCAGAATGGAGAAAGAGGAAAGTAATTCTGTGCCAGAAGGTTTGGTGATGGTGCCAACAGCCCAAGTTGAGATTCCCTGTACTTTTCCGTCCCATTAAGGGAGCACAATTAAAGGACTACTAACAGGGTTCATTATTAGTATTAGAGATTCAAGACAGCAAGCACATTGGTTCCCAACAATGTTCTGTAAGAACAAAGCCTGAAGAACCCCAATCTGTGTTATTGATCACAACTTGAAATGCTTCCAGTCACACACAGCTGAAAAGTTTATGGAGTTTGTCAGTGTCCGGACTGCACATGATTTTGACACCATCATGACACATAACAAGTAGCGGCCAGTGATGCAGCCCTCCAGCCAATGTGTCCATGTCTTTTAACCTATGTGAAATTCCTGAATCTCTACATCACTACTAACAAAAAAAAGCACTTTCCCAGTGTCTTCCCTTGAAAACTGAAGCTTACCAGTTATCTGCACCACAAAATTGGACTATGGTTTTATACTTCTGTTTTACACCCAGCACCTCAGGGGGAAAAAAAGTGTGACTCCAAATGGATACAACTCTCAGAGAGAATGCTATTTTCAAATGATTGTTTATGTAGATACAGTCTGGGTGATGGTGAAGGCTTACAATTCTACTTGGAAACACAGGTGGTTGGTTTTCCTAGTATCTAGAATGCATGCTTTTATTTGGACATAGCAGTAATTGCATGTGCAAAAATACTGAATACTATTCTGTTATTACAAATAGATCTGAGCTGAATTTTTTAAAAGTCATTTGTAAGTGAATTTTTTGTGCTCTAAATTGACCTAAAGCCCACTGTGTTTGAGAAATTTAAAGAAAAATATCCAAGTTTAGAAATAGGAGTATTATATATACAACCCTGTTTTTCTATAGAAGTATATAAGGTGAGATATATATATATATATATAATTTTTAGAATTTCCTGGAAGTCATATTTAAAAGTAAAAAGAGAGGTTAAAATTATATATGATAGTACATTAGTCCAATGTCTTCAAAATAATATGCCCCAACACCTAATCAGTATAAAATTATTGTTGTGCTGTCTGTATTCCTTCGTTGGTTTAAGTTGTTGAAGTTCAGTATATTTTAAATTGAACTAATCATTTCACGTGGTCTTGTGGCTAGTGGTTATCATATTAAATAGCAAAGAGTTACATAGACATTGTGATTATTATGATGATCTTTATTTTTTTAATAAAATTCTTTTCATATATGTGACTATATTCCATACATCTATATTCTAGATGTTGTCAATCCAAACTTATTAATGATCTATTGTTCTGTTATTTACTATAGCACAGTTTCTTTAGTTTTTTCATTTTTTATTCCTAGTGGGTTTTTCTAGTTGTTGTTTTTCTATCAGTCTCTTTTGTGAAATTTTAATGCCACATATATACCAGTCCCTGGAATATCCCTGAAGAACCACAAAATCATTGTAATGTCAAGATTTTTTCACACCAACAAGAAGCCAATTTTATCCCTTTGAGTAAACAATCTCCCCTACTGCTGCTAATGCACTATCTCTCACTATTTTGCCAGGGAAATAAATCAAATCAACTCTACTGGCTTCAGTTATTAGTTATCCTTGATAATTAAGAAAATATAAATCACCACCTTTTTTCTACATCATATAGTCCACCTTCAAAGTTGTTCTTCTTATTGTTTTACATAGAAATGAATTCATTCTTTTCTTCTCAGATAGACAAAAGGACTTGGGCTTAAGAAGTTCATAGTTTAATGTTATTTTAAATAAACTTTGTACTGCTCAAAACTTGCTTCCCATCAGTCAGAGTAAGAGTTTTTCATGCTTACTTGCTTTCCCAGATACTAATGTTGTTAATGCTAATTAATTTGCCAAGGAAAGCCACCTACATATCTGAATATTTGCTTTGTTGTTACAATCCAGTTCAGATCTATTTCTCTGTTACCCTGAATATGCCATATTGGTGCTGCCAAACCTTCAGATATGGCCATCCCTTATTTAAATGCCCTCTCTTGAACCTGGATAGACAGATGCCTTTGTGTGAGCCGCTGCATTATTGAGATGATGGTCATGATCTCTGTACATTCTTCATCCCACCCCTTCCCTCTCCATCCTCCTTTCTCTTAACCACACAGCACAACATGCCCTTTTGGAGGATATCAAGTCACTCGGACCTTTTGGCTCTCCATCAAGCACTGGAATTAGAGTATTTGTAACTGTGTTCTCTAGCTGGGGATCCATTTTATATACATATAAATATATATATATATTTCAAGTACACTGAATTTTTATGTGTGATTCAATGCCTCTGGCTCTACACATATAAATTGTCTTAAAGGATGAAATATTTGGAATGAAAATTCCAAAATGAAGAATTCAGATTGCTGAATGAAATTCAACTTTAGTGCTACAGAAACAAAACTCGATGGTCTTATATTTACAACACTTTAATGGTTTATTAACAACAATGACAAAGATGATGATGATGACAACAACAACAACAACAACAACAAATCTGTGGAGGTTTCTGCACAATAAATGAGTCCTAACTGGAATTACCTTTAGCAAAGATCTCACCCTCTCAAGCCACAGTGTCTGTGCTCCATCTGACAAGGTGGTCAACAACATTCCTCAACATGAGAACTCTTCTCAGCCCTGAGGTTTGAACCTGACTTTACCCTACCTAGCCCAGAAAATCTGAATTGGAATGCACTCCGACTGTATAAGGACAGTCCTATCTAGACCTGTAATTTGTGTACATTATGGATGGAAATAATTTACTGTGACTTAGTAGCAGCTGACTTTGAAAGTGGGTGATATTTTTCTTTCATTTGTTGGGGAGGGGACAAGGGGGGTCATGGGAATATAATATTGTCTCTTTTTTAAGTTTGGCAAAACAGAATGTTCATAATGATGTGTTGTGCCTTAAAGACAAGACAGAGTTTGTGTGTTCTGATGTAATTTTGGTTTTAAAAAAAACCTCTGTAGATAATGAAAAACAATAACAAAAGCAAAACCAAAAAAAAAGTCTGTGATAATTCTTAAATGACCAAATTTAAAATTCAAGCTATCAGATATCAAGAAGAAACTGAGTATTTGGATATAAGAATAAATGAAAGCTTGTGTTTTCTTTGGGTTCTTAATAATTCCAGTAATTGTAGGAGGCATCTAACCATAAACAGAAGGATCAGGAGAGACTGTGGGACCTGAACTTAAAAAGTGAAGTGTAGGTTAAAGTCTCGAGTATCCTTTTTATCGTTTTCCGCAAGAAAACGAGCCATATCCAGGAAAATTTGCACAGTATTGAGTTTGTGACATTTTGATATGTGTAAATTGCTTTGAGGAAGATATTATCATACAAGTCATTAGCAATTATCACCCAAATTATTTTTGTAATATGCCATGGACATAGCTTAAAATTCACATTGTGTGACTGTGGCTTAAAAATATAGCCAATACTACTGCAAAAAGAAATTCAAATGTTATCGTTAATAATAGGCAGACATAGCAGATGGCTTCCAAGGGAAGAAGTGAAGCTAGGAAAGTTTTACCTTGAGTAGACCACCAGACAAGAATGAACAGGTGACCTGCATTTTCACAGCATTACCCAATCACAACCGTAAAACTGTCTGTTTCCTCAATCTTACCACATCAATCGAGGGGCTCCCCACTACAGATTGGCATACATTGGTTTCTGCTTGTACCGTTACTGGGTATTGGGCGGCATTCATTGCAGGGAGAACTTGTCATCGTTGTTGTGTTTGCATGGTTTTTTTTCTTTCTTTCTTTCTTGGTGTGTAGCCCATGTTGGGAACACGATACAGGTTCTCCTACCATTTCTATGACATGATTTCCCCTGTGGAAATTTAAGACTCAGAGATCTGGAGTATTCTAATCGTGTCTGCACCTACAGTTCTGTGTTTAAAATGTCATAGTATGGGTCCTGAAGTCCAGTAAGGGATGAGTCAGTCTTCCTAACTAGAGGCTGGTTCGTGTCAGTTGATCGATTGAGACTTCCGTGGCTAAAATAAAACCTACACTTTGCTCGCAGATCACTGTGAATATTCACTGGGAAATATGATTGTACTCTTCATGCTATAAACTTGTATTTCTTCAGTGAATGCTAAGTCCATAGGGAGGCAGAAAGGAGATCCTAATTTTGCATCAGATTGTGATTTCATGGCATAAACTTATTTAGTGGGTGTGGCTTCTGGCTACCTCAGCCCCAAGTACTGTGGCAGGCAAATTATGGTTGGAAGACCTTTAATAGTAAATAAGAAATCTTACACTTCTCTTGGCCTTTAATTTGAAAATGGCTTTAAAAATTGAAGGCTTGCATTCATTATCAATTACTTCGTGCACTAAAACCTTAGATATTTATTACTGTGAATAAAATGAAATGATCTTGCTGTATAACCAGCTTCTTCAAATAATAGGTCAGTGGTATTACATCAACATGTTTAACTCCTTTTTCTGTCAGCCAAGCAAGGCTTCTCATGCTGCTAAGCCTGCAGATGCCAGAAAAATCTTTTACACAGGATGTAGAAAAGATGGCTGATACCATCTCCTAGTGCTGTTTCTTACACACATGTGTTTTTTTTTTTCTTTTGAGTATGTGTCAACATAAAACCTGAACTGGAGGTTGCTTGATGCAGAACAGCTTGTCTGGCACACAGTGGTGCTAGCCAGTAAGCCCTGGCATCACGGGTCATGTGACTTTGAGCATGCTCAAATGCTTTCTGCCTGAAGAACAGAAAGTTCTCTTCCTCTCTAGTCAGAAGACCACACAATAAGCCAGCAGAGAGAAAGCCAGCCCTTTGTCAGTTCCCATGTTCTATTTACAGGTAGCAAATTGTGCCTTACTGTCAACTGGTTTGAAAATTGTTCTGTAACTTAAATGGGCTTTCAGTTACCACATACACACATTTGGTATATGACTAAGAAAGACAACCATCTTGTGTGGCACCTTAACAAACTAAAAACTGCATAACTTCAGCAATGAATTAGCCAGCCTGTCTACAATATTAGAGCATAGGATCCCTGTAAAAAAATGTGTAAATCAAATTCAGAGGCAGAAAGGGTATCTTCAGAATCATACAGTTTATGCACAGAAATAGATAATTGTCTGGACGTTTTCTTCCTTTGTCTCTGGAGAGCAAAGATTCACAGTAGTGTGAACAGCATGCTTCACTCTGAAGTCATTTGTGTAAAGCACAGCTGTTTATGACAAGCCTACATTCTCCAGGAATATGGCATTTAGTACTTCTTTTCAACACAAAGACTTAAGCATCATGAGCCAAAGTTGCATTTTGACTCCAGCTATGGGAGATCTATGGTGATCTTACCATCAAAGGCAAGGGTTTCTGTTATGTATTAGTAAAATATAGATTTCTCGGGGCTTACATAATTTAAAGAAATGTAAATTAATATTAAAAGCTTGTAAAAATATGTACATCTTTACTATTTCTCAAATAAATACCTTTGCAAATGTTTTCATTTTCCTCACCCTTCCATTGTGCAGAGTTTTTGTATGTGTATTTTATTTGCCTTCATTCTACATCTTATGAAATTTTCATATAGATTTTTTGGTGCTCTGTTTTCTTTTTCTGAGCTGATGTTGCCTAATTTGTAGTCAAGCAAAACTGAGATGTAACATAGTAAAATGTCACCAATTAACACTTTAAAGTTGCTGGTTTACTGAGACCTGCGCTGGCTAGTTTTTTCATATTTCATCCACGTAGAATGCAGGACAACATAGACATAATTCATTAACAACAAATGAATGCCTACTAGAATATTTAAAACAAGTTTCCTTTAGATGAACATATTTGTAACTATTATAATGTATACATCCTTTCTAACCTCTTATATCTAATTATCATTGAAAGTTGAATTTGTGAGAGAAAATCAGCTCTAAATGCCATCTCTCTGACTCTTGCTAAGTACAAACACATGCTCTTTTGCCTGTTCAGTACACCATCTTGGATAAAAGGACTTCTCCAATGAGCGTTTCCAAATCGGAGCATGTGGTTCTGCCACAGCTCTGTTGAACCTTTCCCATGACTGGGCCTTTCCTCTAGCTGGGCTTCATGCTTTGGTCCTTACGTCGCTTCACCACTGTCCTCAGGATGATGCTGTGAGTCAGGGCATGTCCTTCCTCTTCCTGGAAACCTCCAACAGTTGGCTGACCAGCTCACTCAGCCCAGACACCATGATCTTTACCAGGCATACGGACTATATTAGTGACGTAGGCTTCATAAGTTGTCCATCTGAATATCCTACCCTGTTCTCATTCATTTCTCACCACCACACAGGCACTATCATATTGTTGGCACAGACCTATACCCAGTCATTTTTTGTAGGCTTTTGTACTTACTATTTGTTTGTTTGTTTTGCTTGTGAAAGTTTTATGACTGAACTCTCCAATACATGGAATTGATAGTGAGTATGTGTTAGGGGAGGAAATGCCAAGTAAATCAACTTATACACAGCCCTAGCAAAGTACTGTTGAATTTGAATTCAACACACCCCTGACCATCAAGGTTCTTTCAGTGTTCAGTGAGGTGAGGATTGAGATGGGGGGAGGGTAGTAGAGCATCAGGCCCTGGGTGTGTGTGCAGAGTCGCTTGCAGAAGCTCCTAACTAGCTCTTAAGGGGGGAAAAAAACCATAGAAAAAATAATAACCTCTGAACTGAATCTTCAAGGATAAAATGGAGGCAAGGGAAAGGGGTACTGGAATGGAAGCATTTAGACAAGGTAGGAAATACAGCAGCAGAAGAAGAGAGAGCCACAGCAAGATTGTGCAGCGGGACATGGATTTGTGAGTTGCCAGATCACAGCTGAATTTCTCTGACAGCAGTAAGTAAATTCATTTAAAATTAATTCCACCAAGTCACATTAGTTCATCATTCATTAAGTGTTTACCATTTGTGTAAGCTTATGACATCATGCCAGTAATATAGAAGAACTTTGTGGAAAATTATTTGGGGTCTCCAACTGATTTAGCATCAGACTTCTGCATCTTGAGATTGTTTGCAATTTCTGAAAAGATAGAGTAGTTATATAACTAGATTTATAACTGTGAAAAAATTCAAATGCCTCTCTGAACTTTTCTACAGTGACACATACAAACTTTCACCAGCTTACCTGGAAACAATAGACACTAATTTATTGACACTAAATTTATTTGCCACAGAAAGAAAACACATTGAAGAAAAAAATCCATAACAGAATCATAGATGATTTAGTCATGTATTCCTAGATAAATATATTCAAAAATATCACTAAAATAGTATAAGCTATGATGGTATAAATCATTTTCTAAATGCAGGCAGTAATCTCTAGTACATGAGTAGAAAATACAATCAATGCCCAACACACACCTGTAAAACCATCCTGCTTGGTTTATGAAATTACTTCTCCATCACTTACAGGAAGAACCAGAGTTGAGATGGGGGAAATACTGGAGACAACTCTAAGTATAAAA